ATGGCGGACTGTGTAATTGTTCGTCCATAATGAATTTGAATGCAACGTCCAGGGTCCATTAAGGCCACTCTCTTAAGTAGCAGCCTTACTATTAATTTGTCAAGCTCTCAGGGTGCACCGCTATAGACCTTAAGTATAAAACCTGATGTGGTAAGGTCCTTAGAAATGGGATGGTCTACAGTACACCTCATATGAACTCTAAAGTATGACGTGTTCTCGTGTAAAACGTCGATATCTCAGGGGGAAGAAATGACTCCTTGTAAAGTGTTTTGAGGACGGATTCAAGGCATTTGGCGAATTTTATAATCGGCTATTAATATAAGACAAAAGTTTATAATATATGATAAATACGGGGGTTCTATAATAAAAAAGGACTGGGTGTGAATGCACCAGACACTATTATGACATATACATTAATTATTTACCATGGTCTGCATATCTTGAGCGCAAAACCAACTGAAACCGTAATATAGACGGATTAATTCTTCTTGAACCAGTTAAGCCTCTGCTAATGAGCTTTTCTTATAGGTAGATAATATCCTATCATGTCATATTGTAGTGGATTGTGTTCCTGCATGTTGTATTGTATTGTATTGTATTGTATTGTATTGTATTGTATGGTATTGTTCATACACTATTGATTTTTCGTGCAACAAATCTTATGTGTATATCTGATTCATTTTTCACATAAATAAAGATATATCAGTACAATATTTAATATCAATACAATATGAAAGTAATGACCTTGCCTAATATGAATTCAGTATTGTTCATTTTTTAAAACTCATTCGAGTGAAAAGACGCATGCGCAGAGGGCACAAAGCCGCGTGTAATACTAGATGAGAAGGCTGGTTAAGTCAATATTCAGGTTCGTTGAGATACGCAAAACAGATTGATAAACATAAAGGACAAGAGACAAGGTGCTATGCAAGCTGTCTAGGACAACAGACCCACACACGTAAACAAATCAAGATAATACATGTAGATAAATCAAATTCTTAAACTTACGAGGTAAAATTCAACGACATATTAACGTTTCATTCTGAATTTTCCACGTTGTTCGAATTCTAGAGTTTCATATATCTAAACTCGTGATTGCAGTTCTACTGGAGATTCACTCTCTTTAATACATTTGCAAAGAGATAACGAATTAATAAGTATTACATTGAATATTAAAGGGATTACAACTCTTCATATCAGATTCAAAAGTCCGCAATAATTACAGTGTAAACAAAAAATAAAAATAACGTAAATTTCATTTTACCACCAAAAAACGGCGGTTATCGTAATAACTCTAAAATCTGTGCTTGCCATTGGACTACTTGGACCTTCAGAGATGGTTTTAGTCCTTAATTTTCGAATAACTTTGAACGTCAAAACGGATTTATATGCCATTGGGAAATATGGGGATATTGTCGTTTACCCCAGAAAATTCGTTTAATGGCACTTTTCTGCCAAGATGACGAGTTTACATCCCTTTGATATTTATTACTGGGCTTCTACTTTATTCTAGATCTGAAATTTCAGTCGAGGAGATTTCAGTCGGTCTTTAAAGAACCCAAGTATGTACAATGTAACTGCTGGATGGGTCATTTATATAGTATTAAAACCCCGCCTGCATGAAGTATCGTGGTGAATATCGATTCTTAATGGAAAGATCTAAGGTGTAAATATGAAGTATTGCCTTCTTCATTACATTAGCTGTATAAACAGGAGCTCCTGGAATCACCCACAATTGTCTTTATTTGCCTAGTTATCTTAAATCCAAGCTGTGGGTATCGACCGCTTAAACATTAGGGAGANCCAGCATGTAATTATTTAACTCGGAGGCTAAAATGTACAAAGCTGTTTTTGTCTGACTGCAGAATGGGTTAGAAGCATTTCTAAATGGCGGACTGTGTAATTGTTCGTCCATAATGAATTTGAATGCAACGTCCAGGGTCCATTAAGGCCACTCTCTTAAGTAGCAGCCTTACTATTAATTTGTCAAGCTCTCAGGGTGCACCGCTATAGACCTTAAGTATAAAACCTGATGTGGTAAGGTCCTTAGAAATGGGATGGTCTACAGTACACCTCATATGAACTCTAAAGTATGACGTGTTCTCGTGTAAAACGTCGATATCTCAGGGGGAAGAAATGGCTCCTTGTAAAGTGTTTTGAGGACGGATTCAAGGCATTTGGCGAATTTTATAATCGGCTATTAATATAAGACAAAAGTTTATAATATATGATAAATACGGGGGTTCTATAATAAAAAAGGACTGGGTGTGAATGCACCAGACACTATTATGACATATACATTAATTATTTACCATGGTCTGCATATCTTGAGCGCAAAACCAACTGAAACCGTAATATAGACGGATTAATTCTTCTTGAACCAGTTAAGCCTCTGCTAATGAGCTTTTCTTATAGGTAGATAATATCCTATCATGTCATATTGTAGTGGATTGTGTTCCTGCATGTTGTATTGTATTGTATTGTATTGTATTGTATTGTATTGTATGGTATTGTTCATACACTATTGATTTTTCGTGCAACAAATCTTATGTGTATATCTGATTCATTTTTCACATAAATAAAGATATATCAGTACAATATTTAATATCAATACAATATGAAAGTAATGACCTTGCCTAATATGAATTCAGTATTGTTCATTTTTTTAAACTCATTCGAGTGAAAAGACGCATGCGCAGAGGGCACAAAGCCGCGTGTAATACTAGATGAGAAGGCTGGTTAAGTCAATATTCAGGTTCGTTGAGATACGCAAAACAGATTGATAAACATAAAGGACAAGAGACAAGGCGCTATGCAAGCTGTCTAGGACAACAGACCCACACACGTAAACAAATCAAGATAATACATGTAGATAAATCAAATTCTTAAACTTACGAGGTAAAATATAACGACATATTAACGTTTCATTCTGAATTTTCCACGTTGTTAGAATTCTAGAGTTTCATATATCTAAACTCGTGATTGCAGTTCTACTGGAGATTCACTCTCTTTAATACATTTGCAAAGAGATAACGAATTAATAAGTACCGTATGTTAATGTAAATCATGAGTAATATTTTTCTGTTCAAGAATTAGGACAATCTCAGAAATATTGGAGGAAATACCTTACAATTTTTCATAGCCTTGACTGGAAGCATTTAATTCATGTATTACATTGAATATTAAAGGGATTACAACTCTTCATATCAGATTCAAAAGTCCACAATAATTACAGTGTAAACAAAAAATAAAAATAACGTAAATTTCATTTTACCACCAAAAAACGGCGGTTATCGTAATAACTCTAAAATCTGTGCTTGCCATTGGACTACTTGGACCTTCAGAGATGGTTTTAGTCCTTAATTTTCGAATAACTTTGAACGTCAAAACGGATTTATATGCCATTGGGAAATATGGGGATATTGTCGTTTACCCCAGAAAATTCGTTTAATGGCACTTTTCTGCCAAGATGACGAGTTTACATCCCTTTGATATTTATTACTGGGCTTCTACTTTATTCTAGATCTGAAATTTCAGTCGAGGAGATTTCAGTCGGTCTTTAAAGAACCCAAGTATGTACAATGTAACTGCTGGATGGGTCATTTATATAGTATTAAAACCCCGCCTGCATGAAGTATCGTGGTGAATATCGATTCTTAATGGAAAGATCTAAGGTGTAAATATGAAGTATTGCCTTCTTCATTACATTAGCTGTATAAACAGGAGCTCCTGGAATCACCCACAATTGTCTTTATTTGCCTAGTTATCTTAAATCCAAGCTGTGGGTATCGACCGCTTAAACATTAGGGAGATCGAGAGAGACCGCAAAGACAATGGAAGAGAGAGAGAGAGTGAGAGAGAGAGAGAGAGGGGGAGAGAGATGTTTGTTATGTTTCAAATGTCTTAGATTTAATGGAACACCGCAGTGCACTGTGCACGCGTGTGTGTGTGTGTGTTTGAGAGAGAGAGAAAAAGAGAGGTTTTTGCTTCAGCAATAATAAAATTGCAAAATAATATAAACAGATCATCAAAGACAGTAGTAACAAGCCATACTCGATATAAATATGACTTGTAACTACTGCATTTGATGCAGCGGTTTTCAGGCTCGAAACCTCTCTCTCAACTGCCGTTCAAATATTCCTTTCTGAATTATTTAGAGTATACTTCAGTATATATTCACGGTGACAGAAACTTCCCCTCCGCTACCCAGCACGTAGGGGTCCTCTACCAGCGCACTGTGTAATATCCTATAGCATAAAATCTTTAGTCTGAAATATTTCAATATTTCACGGCAGTAGAATACGTCAAAGGAGAAAAGTAAATCCTGGCAATGGACTTTCATTGTTGAAGTATACTCTAAATAATTCAGAAATGAATATTTGAACGGCAGTTGTGAGAGAGGTCTCGAGCATGAAAACCGCCGCATTTCAACCAGCGATAGCACAAAACAACATAGCCCGTATGTGTGATGCATAGGTGATGAGGAAGCGTTTCGGTAACAATCGTTCAATATGAAAATGTATACGGTATCACAAAGGCATAATTGTTGAATGTGGGTAGAACGCTGCGGTGAGGTTAACATTTCGCGTCATTTGCCCTGAGTATCTCGAAAATGAACGATCGATGAGACAATTTGCCATAACGGATTTTCAAGGAAAGCCAACATCTGCTAGCAAAAATGGTCACTGATTGTTCACCAATTACATCGTGCAATTTCTGGCATCTGGCTATTTCACCTCACATATTGTCCACATACAACGAGGTCATATCATTAACGGACCATTCGCGAAGCAAAACAGTTCCACAGTTTTACTTAGAATGCCTCAAAAAAATGCAGCCGCCGTCGTGCCACGTCAGTTTGTACGTGACAATTGACAGCTGCAAATCACAGGTAACAGTATATATAGACCACATATATAAGTTAATCCACGTTCTTTGTCACATTAATCAACAACCACTTGGCTTAAAGTGTTAAAAAGACGCCAGCCACCGACACCCACCTAAGTTGTCTTCGTTTTGTCTTCTTCCTGAGTGTCAGCTCGCTCTGTTACGTGTCGTCTGCTAGCGTAATGAAGTGTCGTCTGCTTCTGTATTAAAGCGCGCCAAGTGACTGACCGCCACGATTCGCACACGACAAGTGCACCGCACTGCAACGCGCTAAATTGATTTGCGATCGATAGATGTTATGAAAATTACAAGGCACCCTTTCAAAGCAAGCCGGCGTTCCCAGGAATCAAGGTGCAGACGCCATCTACTTTAATCAATTTCTCAGAGCCTGAAAGGCGCGATGTGTCGATGAAGTCTCGTTTGTGATACTGCGAAGAGGTCGATCAATTCTGGTATTTTGCGTGCTGCCTTTATGCTGATATAAGTCATATAGAAAATTTGTATTGAAAGGTATATTAGTGTGGATAATGTTACTTTTTCTCTGCCTAAAACCGTTTTCTTTTTATGGTGGAAAAGAAATAAAATTTGTCTATTATCCTTTATAGGTATGTTTTAGATATAAAAATGTTTTTGTATTTAATCGATTCTTATCATGCCTTTGATATAACATACTTTTCAAATTCCATTTATTCCTATGTGTATTTTGTTGTGATTTGAAACTTTTTAGTCATTAAGTATAAGTATGACCGATACAAAAAGGTATGATAACTACAACATTTTTACTTAAGAGACGTCTATATGAAGGTTAACTGACATTTATAGGAATGCATTCAACATTCATGCCATCTAATAATCTGAAATGACATATTACCATCATATTTAATATCAGTATAAGTATTAAAGCAAACCTTATTTCCTCTTAACTCACTAAGCCTCCGCGTCCCTAGGAGTTTCCAACGCGGTAAACGCTGTATTCTAGAGTTAACATAACCCCAGAATGCGTTAAAGTCAGATTGAATACATCATCTACCGGGCATCGTGTACTCTACCCATTGATATTGACCACAGATAGAAAAACAAACAAATGCTCTGCAGGGTTGGTCATGCATTATCGTTAATTCAAAGCCAGTCTGGTTAGTTTCCCAGTAGCAAGGTTTAGAAAATGGAAGAAAGTGAATGTTCTGATTCATTCATGTGTGATATCATATAACAGGAAATAATGAATCTGATACTGCACTTTCGAAGTAATACACCAACCATCCAACGTTGTTATCAGTACCACTAGAAAATGTAAGCCCGTCACCAGAATCTACAGTAATTTATCTGGCGTCTCTACATATCCAGATTGCTAAACATATGTTTTAAGATTTTAATGTGCAAAGACGGTCTATTTTCTCTGGCATTTTGTCGTCTGATGCCGTTAATTAGGACCAAGAGGTGTATATTTGTGTTTATGGCATTCTTTTTCGTCAGATTTGCTTAATTCTGCAGATTCGCAGACTCTTATTAGGTTGTAAAAAGTAAGAGACCTGCCAAACCTTGCCATCAGTAAGATCAGTCTTGAATATTGTTTTCCTTTCCATTTTGGCAACTGGTAGAAAATGTACTTCAAGTTTATAACAATGCAGTTCTTTCACGCTTATAAATTTAATGAAATTCTAAACGTGGACTGTTGTGTACTTTTACACGAACAGTTACATTTGCTTTCGCCAAATTATTGGGAGTAAACAAAATGTTCAAATACATAAAACAAGTAGAGTTTCATTTCCAATTATTTCCCTATTCACCTGGCAAGGTAACTAGAAGCCACAAAGCATATATACCCAAGTCTTCTTTAAAGGCTTAGAAATCAATTCAATTAAACGTTGATGAAAATTAAGTTATGGGGAGAGATGAGAAAGCAAAAAGAACACAACAAGGAGAAGCACCTTGAGAATAATCAATTACATTACATTGTTATACGCGTGGGGCTAAGTTTCAGTCTAAAACAGTTTAAAACAGGACATGCATATCATTGAAAAGCGGGGAAGCTTTGAAGAGTGGTTACAGCGGTGAGTACAGTTAACGTGATAGTGTTACCCCCACAGGTGTGCACTGGCCTCCGCAACGCCAGCAACAGCTTTTAAATGTCAGTTCTTAAAATACTTAAATTGATAGGACCGAACGCAAGTAGAGAAAATAGTATACAAAGAGGCTGCTATTGAAGACGTTGATTGCAATTTGTCATACTTTCATACATTGTCATACATTTGACACACATTCAAAAGTTATCAGTTAATTGATGTATGGATTATTTGGTGTGGAAATGAGTGTGTAAAAGAGAGTTCAACAGAGGTGTCACAATTCATGGCAGCAGTTTGACGACTGTTCTAGAGTACCTGTGCCCTTATCTATAGTACCTGTGTTCAGTCAGCTGCATATGTCACCTAACTTGGGCACTGTGAAAAGGTAAGAAAGGGAGAAAGAAAGAGAGAAGAACCAGACAAACACATAGGCAACAGAAACACACAAGCAAGATATGTTGTACATGTAGTTTAAAGTAATAAAAGTAATACTGATGTATTCATCTTATACACTGTACATAATGTATATATATATAAAACTATCCATCAGAAGCTGGAGTATGAGCAGATATACTACATGCAGAAACAAGAGTGAAGATAAAGCGACCGAGCACAAGTTTGCCTGTAGATGACTATTTGGCAAAACATCAGACAAGGGCAGAGCCTCGCTTTGGACATCCATTAAGCACTTGTTTTATGTTCGGGCCAGGCATGGTGCCTGTTCAACTGGCAGGACCTGGTTGTACTGAACAAGTTATTGGATTTTAAGGCCATGTATAAATGTACTTTAAGACGTCAGGAGGCGAGATACTTGTGTGAAACGCTCTAAGAAAAAGACTTTGATCCGATTTTCGATGCTTACGTGCATTTTCGTCAATGGCAAATGTCAAGTTGAACTCATATGGTCTTTTAAAACGCAGTGGCCTAAAGTCCCTTTTGTTGGAAGTCATATTTTTATGTGGTATGTATGTATGATTAGCAGAACCTAGGTTCTTGTACATCATTTTTTCTTTTGTAATCGAAAGGGCGGGGGGGGGGGGGGGGCAGTTAGTGTCCAGAGTCTATAGTGTTTTATCTCATTAAAAAAATGGCAACAGGAAATTAGTACCGTTGTTAAAATTGCGATTCTGACTACCTGAAACTATATGGTGTCGTTTTCTTCAAAAGCGATTCTGGTTACCAGAGAGTATTGAGCATCATTATTTTTTTTCAAAAACTATTACGGCAACAGAAAAGTACCCAGTTGTGTTAGTTTTAAAAAAGGGATTGTGGCAACCAGAAGCTGGTGTAGTTTTTCAAAAGCGATTATGGAAACAGGAAAGAATGCCGTTTTCAGTAATGAACCTGGAATCCCGAAACTAGCGTCGTGTTTCAAAAACGATTATGCCGACCAGAAACTAGTGTCATTTTTCATGAGTCTGGCAATAATCCGGATATTATAACAGGAGATCGCCGCTTAAAAGTAACTGCAACGTTAAACAGGCCTCAATGCAGAAACATTTCGTCCAGTCCACCAACTGACAACACTAATGACTTCACCCCCATGTACAATCCCACGCCCACACCCCCACCCCCTCCTGTAGCTTCATTTCAAGTTTAGGGCCTGGAGCAAATTAGCATTGTGAAGGCCATATTTACTCTAGACCAAGACCTGAACAGGATCATTAAAACACTCACTCAACGTTATCAGACATAGACAGGGGATGTATTTGTTATTATTATATCCATCCGAACCTCTCTTCCAGCCCCCTTCCCTCCCCTCTCCCAATGCTTTCAGAGTTACAATGTAATGAACTGTATCTTTGTCACTTCTCGGTAAAAAATGTGGCTGGGCAACTAAGTGTCTTCATCATGCGTATGGTTGGAAGGTAGACAAGTGAAAGCTCGGATTGTATTTTACAACTGTAATGTAGATCTTCAAAGGTGCATCAATATATATACTTCTATTTTCATTAAGATCTATACGGTGAATTAACATGAATTCTCAAGGTTGACAAGTGAAACACTGATGCGATTTCAGCAATGAGAAACAATATTAAGCGTCTGAAGAGTGATCCCATAGGGGTGGACTGCTATTAACCGAACCCGCGTGCCACGTTCACCGCCGAGGCTCGGCAAATGAACTGCGTATCAAACCAGTGGCTGCTTTTTCATTTTCGATTTACGAGTATTGGCAAAATCAGCTGTTTCCAAAGATATTGACATCAGCCAATGCCTTTTAATATAATTCAATAAAATGATAGATTCGAATTTCCGGCCTTAGTGAATTAGTTCTCCGGTTTGTGCGATGGCGTATTGGGCGACTACTGTCTTATGTGACAGATATGTCACACGTGTTGATTACTTTTTCTAGACATTAGTTTATAATAACAATAATAATAATAATAATAATAATAATAATAATAATAATAATAATAATAATAATAAAAAAAATAATAATAATTTGAGCACTAAAGTATATAGGTTACATTTTATAGGCTCTAGGCTCTTTTATAGGCTCTTTTATCGACTACTGTTATTAATTGGTGTTTCGTTTCTTCAAACTTTCAGTGATATATCCATATATCCTAGGTTCTGCTAACCATATATATATATATATATATATATATATATATATATATATATATATATATATATATATATATATATATATATATATATATATGTGTGTGTGTGTGTGTGTGTGTGTGTGTGTGTGTAAAGCATATTTCACTTTTTGGATTGAGTTTATGTTGTATAGGAACATGTATATATACACACACTACTGCAACGTGTGTAACTCGGACAATTTTCAAAAAATCCGAATTTTGCTCAAGTCAACATTCAACATACTTCCAAAAGGCAGGGGAAAGAAGCTTAAATAGCAGAGAATAATCCTGTATATATATATCCCTAGTTAGATCACGCAAAACTGACGTACGCTGTACGTATGCTGTACGTCATCACAAGCGTGTGAGGCAAGTGTGACGCAAAAGTGACGGGAGTCTGAATTACTTTCGACGTGCGTTCCATTCTTTTCGTAAGCGGTGAGTGCGTGTCACATATGCAGGTTGCAAGACAAACTAAAGTAATGAGTATGATGTCCACGGGAAACGCATCTTGCAATTAGCGTCCCTGCTTGAAAGGCCATCTCACGTGGCTCCTGCCACTCGCAAGGCAGCCCCTTGCTGTCTTTCCTCTACCTCTACGCGACCTCCACGTCCTACACTGCACCCAAAATTCGCATTCTAATCCTAATACGCTCCTAAAATGCGGGCGTCAGGCTGTCACCGAGGCTTGAGAATTCGACTT